AGGCTGTCTGGGGAGTGTGTGTGTGTGTGTGTGTGTGTGTGTGTGTGTGTGTGATGGAGTGGGTCTGTCCAGGCACTGCGGCTCTTTCCCCACACCCACCTTCTTATGCCAGGCCTGCCCCTCCCCCACAGTCCCCTCTTCACCAGTCCCTCCGTGTGTCTCTGTCCCCATGTGCCACTCTCCCTGCCCCCAGGGGGTCTGTGTCTGTGTGGGGGCACGTGTGCTGAGCCATGGCTGAGCTTCTGCACGGGGAGCTGCATCTGCTGTGTGTGCCATTTCTCAGCATGGGAGGGGGCTGGCTTCCCTGCGTGGGGGCCTCTGTGCCAGCCGTGGAGATGGGTACATGGGGAGGGGCTGAGTACTGGAGGGGATGCCAAGTACAGCAGCAGGCTCTGGGCTGTGGGATCCTGGGTGTGTGAGAAGGACCTTCAGCGTGGGGGTGGGGGGAGTGGACACTGCTGCAGTCTCCGTGTGTGGGATCCAGTGAACAAGAGCTGGCCGCTGAGCTCCAGAGGCTTCTCAGGGTCGCTGAGGGATGGCCTGGGGGAGAGCATTGTGTGTGTTCCTGCAGGGCAGGTAGTCAGCAGTAAAGAGCATGAATGGGGTGCTGCGTGGGTAGGGAAGACTGGAAAAGGGGGTGGGGTTAGAGGGTCTGGGTGGGAGGGTGTCAGGATGAGAATGGAACAGGGGAGAGTGGGGGATACAGAAGTCTGGGGAAATGGGGAATACCTGAGCGTGGAGTGTGCGGAGCAATGGGGTAAGGAGGGGGTGCAGGAAAAGTGAGGAAGATTTGGGGGTAGGGATTTAGGCAGTGTAGACAGAGCGTGCAGGAAATGTAAATGAAATGCAGTTGCAAGTAACAGGAGGCGGAAAGGTGTGTGATGGAGTGAGTTGAGGGTGCTGAAGGATGAAAGTGGGGGAGGGGTGACTAGAGAGTATGAAAGGAACCTAGGGTACTGTAGGGTACTACAGTAGGGAACCTAGGGTACTACAGAAGTCAGCAGGATGTGGGGTGGGATGAGGGCAAGGAAAGGGGGAGAGGTGGCATGAGAGGAGGGAGAGGTCACAGGAGTCTGAGGAGGACACTTTGGTTTGAAAGGGGATGTGGGTGTGTGCAAGAGCAAAGTGGGAGGTGGAAGGATGGCCCCGTGGGTGTGATAAGGGGCTTTCGGGAAGTGAGGGCCGACAGTGGTGGGTTAGGGTGACGTGGAGCTTTCAGATGGCATGGAGGAGTGGGGAGCAAGGTGCAGAGAGGGGTGGGGGTACACACAGGAGTGAGGGAGAGGGAGTATAGAGTCACAGGAAGCTGTGGGGTCAAGAGGGTGGTTGGGAAGTTCAAGGAGAATGTAGTGGGATGAAGGAAATGCCACATATAGCTGGGGTTATCTGAGAAAATCACTGGAGTGGGGAGAAGAGAGGAGCGTGCACATGATGGTGACATTTGGGAGGGAGGGACAGGGGTGTGCTGTGAGGATCTGTAGGTGTTTGGACATTATTGGGGAATATGGGTTGCCTGTCAGGGATTCAGTCTTGGCTTTGACACTTCTCTAGCCTGGTGTGATTTTGAGCAAGTTATTTCTGTGCCTCGGTTTCCTCATATATAAAATTGGAACAGTAATAGTCAAGCCCTATCCCCCAGGGGTGTTGGGAGGACTAAATGAATAAATAAATATGAAGTGCTTGGAACTGCATCAGGCATTCAGCAATGGTTCAATAAATGTCACCCGTTGTTATTGTGCTATGGCACAGCCTGGGATACATTTCAGGCACTCGAGGGGTGTTCATGATGGTGAATTTGGGGCGGATGTATCTGTGCCGGGGCATTTGGGTGCTGTGGAGTGAGTGGAGGGTATTACTTCTGCAGTGGCCCAGGTATTTTCTTGGGGATTGTTGAAGGATGTTATTCACTGTGTGACCTCAGGCAAATTGCTTAACTTTTCTGGGCCTCTGTTTCCTCACTTGCAAAGCGGAAATAGTACTCATACCTACTTCGGAGGCTGGCTGTGAGAGACAGTTGAGTTATTTAGCTGTGAAGCCTTCAAATACTGCCTCACACATAGCAAGCACTTCTTCTTGGCAAATAATGTATATGGGAGTTTTATTGAATTATAATTGGAGGATGGGCTATTTGGGGAAGGCCTATGTATGGGGTATCAGGATAATGTGGGGGGTAAAAGAGAGATTCCAGGGGCAGGGGAAAGATGTGGGAAAGGTAGGGGTTTGTGTCATAAATGAAGGAAAGTGAAACTGCTGTAAATGAGAAATAAAGGAGAGCTGAAGGGCACTGCTGGCAGCCGGGGGGGGGGGCCCTGGAGATCTGGAAGGGACATGGGGGTGGCAAGGACATGAGGGCTTAGAGGAGGTTGTCAGGGTATGTGGTGGGGACAAAGGCGGGGACAAGGGCATCACAGAGTGCACAGTCAGGCGCAGGCAGCTCTGACTTCTCGACCAATTTCCGTTGGCCCTGTCCATTTGCTGCTCGAGACTTCTTGGCCTCCTTCCTCTCCTGTCTCTTTCCCTTCCCTCCCTCACTCCATTCAACCCCTTTCCTCCTTCTGGTCTCACATCCCCATCACCCAGCTACCCGGTGGCCCATCCCTGGGTTGAATATCTGATCAGGAGGATATGGGTGTGGTGTGGACATGTTTGCTGGACCATGGTGAGCTTTGAGTGGGGGCAGCGGCTGGGGTGAGCCTCTGTGTACATGTGTGCTGTCGAGCACACCGAGTTACAGTAAGGGGGGCTGGGCAGGGCTGGTGTAAGGGTGCATGTGCAGAACACTGGCTGTGGTCCAAAAGTATGGGATTTGACAGTGGAAGTCGTGGGGGGGGTCATTGGAGTATACAGGGGTGCTGGTGGGGTGCTGGTGGGGGTACCAAAATACAGTGGGAGCACATTAGTGGCCATTGGCGTGTGCTGGGATGTGTTCAGGGGGCGTGTTATGGGAATCTACTGAGATCCAAGTAGGGGGGGAGTTATTGGAGCATACTGGGAAGTGTGGGGGTGTTACTGAAATATACTGGAGTATTCCTGGAGGGCCGTTCTGCCGAACCTGTGGGGGTAGGTAATTGGAGTGCACAGGGAGCGTGCTGGGCTATTCCTGGAGTCTGGTGGGGCCGGTGGAGGTTATTGGGATATACTAAGGGGGTCTGCCTGTGCACTGGGTGGGCTGCAGACATGACTGCGGTGTGCTGGGGTGCAGCCGGCTACACGTTCTGCTGGGTCTTGGTGTTCTGGGGTATTCCAAAGGAAGTGGGGTTGGAGCCAGGGTGTTTGGGTATTCCTGTTGTGTATGGGGTACCTGGAATGGAAGAGACCTGTGACATCAAGGTTTGGGGGCTACATCTGAGAGAGCATGGACAGGTGTTGGCATACATGGATTACGTTTGCGTTTAATGGGTGCGTGAGCATTCCTAGGTGTGCTGGCGGGCTTTGGTGGCCTTACTGGCAACCATCCTCATCTTCACAGGAGGTTTGCGTTTTACTAGAATCTACCCACTGCTCAAAGGAGATACATTTGAGATATACCAGGGATACAGAAGCCAGCGCTGTCCACTAGAAATCTCTGCGGTGATGGAAATGTTCTGTATCTGCACTGTCCAGCGTGGTAGCCACCAGCGTCACGAGGCTACTGGGCACTTTGAAATGTGGCGAGTGAGACTGAGGGACTGAATCTTTTCCATTTCATCTTTAACTAATTTGCATATAAATAGACACATGCAGCCAGTGGCCACCATGTTGGACCTTGCAGAATAAGCAATGTTACAATATGCTTGGGGACCTGGGGAGGTGTTACTGTAATATATTCCTATAGTATAGATATAGTCAAGGACTTGGGAGGGGGATCATCAAAATACATGTGTTCTCTTAACTTGACCAGAGATAGCGAAGGAGTTCTGAGCGCCTATGATGTGCCGGGTACTGTGCTGAACATGACATATACTAAGCTACTATGGCAACCCTGTCGGGTAGAGCCTACTATTGCTCCCCTCCCCCCATTGTAGATGAAGATACTGAGACCCAAGAGGTTAAAGTCATGGGCTCAAGGTCACAGACAGGAAGTGGCTAGCAGGGCTTCAAGCCAGGCTGTCTGGTGATGCGGTGGTGTACCTCCCCATCCCTCTCTGTGCCTGGCTTACAGTGGGCTTGGTAACTGCTTGCTGAATGGATGGGTGGATGGGTGCACGGATGGATGAATGAGGAAAGAGTGAGTGGGAGAGCAGGCACTCCGGGCTCTGCGGGGGAGGCCTGTCAGGGCTGCTGTGAGCAAACGTTCACTCCCGGAGTGGGTGAGGAAGATCCTAGGAGGCGGGATGAATGGTCCTGGAGCAGAGGCTCAGGTCACTGGGTTGCCGGGCTCAGTGTCTCATGATCCCTTCTCCGCCTGCCCCACCCCCACCCCTCCCTGCCCTCCCCTCCAGCGATTACATCATTAAGGAGAAGACAGTTCTGCTGCAGAAGAAGGACAGTGAGGGGTTTGGGTTCGTGCTCCGGGGGGCCAAGGGTGAGTGCCGGCCGGGAGGGGACGGGAGAAGGCTGTCTGACCCAGGGGGGATGAACAAGGGAAAGGGACCCCAGCCTGCCCACCACCCCACCTCCGGGTGCTGGTCCCTCAGCTACTGTGAAGCCTCTGTGACTTGGGTCTGAGCCCCATCCCCTGCTCGGCCTCTCCACCCCCCGCCCCCGACCCCGCCGGCTCCTCCCATCTGCAGCGCAGACCCCCATCGAGGAGTTCACCCCCACCCCGGCCTTCCCGGCACTGCAGTATCTGGAGTCTGTGGACGAGGGTGGTGTGGCATGGCGTGCCGGACTGCGAATGGGAGACTTCCTCATCGAGGTGAGGCCTGGTTCCCAGCCCCAGGAGCCTCTCTCAGCCCCAGCCTCCAGCCTCCCACAGACACTCCTCTCTCCCCTGGGACCCTGGTGGCAAATCCCAAGGCCCCTTTTAATCCACACCAGGATCTGGCCGCCCGAGTCCAGATTCTCCCCTGGCACCAGGCTTCCCAGCCTCTACTTTCTTCACAGATTTAATCCGAAGGCTTTTTCTGAAGTATCTCAGAAGATTACAGAGCTGCCCCTAGCACGCGCGCGCACACACACACACACACTCTCTCTCAATGCAAGGGGGTCAAGGAAGGAGAGAGGGGTGAATAGGGTGGGCTGGGCCTCTTGCTCAACCCTGAGGCCAGGAGAGTTACAGGAACGGAGCTGGGGGGCTTTGCAAGAGAAGGGGGTGGTGGAGAGGGTCAGAGGGAGGGAATAGTGGCCTACAGTACAAGGCAGGAGGCCGCTTCGATGGGGACTCTGAAGCTGAAAACACTCCTCCCTTACCTACTGGGTGTGCTTTTGGGGGTGTCTGTGCCACAGGTGAATGGGCAGAATGTGGTGAAGGTTGGCCACCGACAGGTGGTGAACATGATTCGCCAAGGGGGCAACACGCTGATGGTCAAGGTGGTGATGGTCACCAGGCACCCGGACATGGATGAGGCTGTCCACAAGAAAGGTGCTCCTCCCCCACTTGTGTGGCCAGGGCTGGCACTCCACTGCCACCATCCTAAGACCCTCAGGAGCCCTGATGGCGGGTCCCCACCATTGGTGTTCCCTTCCCCAAGGCTGCTTGTCCATGACCCTTCTGGGGAGAAACTGAGACAGGGAGGGCTCAGCATGCTGGTGGTGGCTATTCTCTGAGCTCTGGGAGCACTTTGGTGGTGGGGAGGGGGTCATGGGACTTCTTCCCATGATACTGATGCCTGACCCCCACTGTCACCTTTTCAGCACCTCAGCAGGCTAAGCGGCTCCCGCCCCCAGCCATCTCCCTGCGTTCCAAGTCCATGACCTCAGAGCTGGAGGAGATGGGTAAGCCTGTGGGGCTGCTGGGGCCCAGGTGCTGGGAGGGAGGGGGGGCGGGGCCAACCCTTGAGTTTGTTAGTGTTGTTAGTGACCAGGGGTCCTGTCCTCATCCTGTCCCCGTCCATGGGCCAGACTCTCTGGCCTGCGTTGTGTGTCGCTGAGAAAAAGCGTCTGAGAGTCGATCTACTTCTGTCCTCTTGTATCTGTTTCTCTGTCGGGGTCTCTCTGGGTCTGTATGTCCCTCTCTGCGGGTCTCTGTTTCTAGCCCCTCTCTATCTGTTTCCCCATTCCATTCTCCATTACCCGCCACCAGCTCCCCCAAACCCCACTAACAGGAAGGAAGGCGAGCCCCTCCCTCCAGACAGAATGGACCTGGGGGGTCCGGTTGCCCCTCACAGGGGCGGGGCGGGCAGTTGACTGCCCCCAGCCCAGGGCACTGAGGGAGGCGGGCGTTCCAGACAGGGGGCCCCTCGCCTCCCCCTGAAGTCCTAACTCTTGACTCCTCTACTGCCTCTCCCCCGGGCTAGTCTCCCCCTGGAAGAAGAAGAGTGGTGAGTGGGCACAGGACTGGCGGGAGGGACCCCGTCCCGATCCCGCCGGCGGATTCGCCCCTCCCCGCCCCGGCCCCTCACTGCCCCACTCGCGCTTGCGCACGCACGCTGGCCACGCCCGCGGGCCCGCACACGCTGGCCACGCCCGCGGGCCGAGCCCGCTCCGCCCCGCCCCCCGGGGGCGCCCCTGGGTTTCAGCCGCATCCTTTGCCCACAGAGTATGAGCAGCAGCCTGCGCCAGTGCCCAGCATGGAGAAAAAGCGGACCGTGTATCAGATGGCTCTCAGTAAGATAGCCCAGCTTTGCTCCCTGCGCTGCTTAGAGCCCCTGACCCCACGCCGCCTGGGGTGCTGCGACTACTCTGTCCCTCTTCCCCCCAGCTGATCACCCCCATACCCCAGCCTTGCCCCAGCCCTCAAGTCTGAGCCCCCACCTCTGTCTTCCAACCTCCTTGCCATGATGGCTGTCCTGTTCGCTCCCTCACCCTTCCCATCACTGGGTCCTGCCTCCTGGGCTGGAGATTGTCTCCATTAGGGCTGCTCATCCATCGGGGTGGAGACAGGGGTGTCCTTTTCTGGTTCTTACAAGACGCTGTGTGTGGGCTCCGGGCAGCTCTGTCTCTGCGCATGGGCAAAGCAATCTTAATTTCGCTGTGTCTCCACACCTTTTCTGCCTCCCCCTAGACAAACTGGATGAAATTCTGGCAGCAGCTCAGCAGACCATCAGTGCAAGCGAGAGTCCTGGACCTGGTGGCCTGGCATCCCTGGGCAAACACCGGCCCAAAGGTTTCTTTGCCACTGAGGTAGGCAGCGTGGTCTGGGGAACTGGGGTCTTGGAGGTAGGAAGCTTGAGGGGTGCATAGGTCAACCTGGAGCCGCCATCCCTGTCTTCGCAAACCCTTCCTGACCCCTGTGTTTAATGCCGCTCCTGGAGGACCACCACCCTTTCTGGGGCCCGCTCCTTTCTCACCACGCTGGGGTCTCCTTCCCCCTCTGCCTATCCTCTTCCTTCTTATTCTACCCCTAGATCCCGTCTCCTCACTCCACTCTCCATTCCTGCGCCTCACGCTCACTCCCTCTCTTGTCCTACCTCTTTCTGTCCACCTCTGTCCCACCTGAAGAGTCTCAGGGAAGGTAAAATGATGTCATGATGGATATCCATGGCACAGACCCAGCACATAATAATAGGCGCTCAACAAGTGGTAGTTCCTAAAATATTAATCGTATCTCTGTCTCGGCTCTGCCTGCTTTTCCCGATGACAGAGGCTAACCCATAGTGGGTGTCGATCATATTTTGGACGCTATGTTTTACATGGATTATCTCATTCATTTCTTAGAACCATCCTGTGAGGTATGCACAGTAGACCATCTACAGAGAGGAAACAGAGATTTCAACCCAGGCAGTCAGGCCACTGGATCCATGGTCCAGTCACAGTTCTGGTTCTTCGGGTGGGGCCCTGCTCGACCCTCCCTGGCTGTCGTCCCCACTGGGCTGTGACCCTTCACAGGAACACATCCCCCACCTGGCCTGCCAGCTCTTCCCTCCACCCTCCAGAGGTCACCTCTGCCCTACCTCTGTCTTAGCACTTCCTTCCTCTCTTCCCAGGCCCTGCTGTCTGACCCTGTCCTCCAAACCCCTCTTCTCAACAGGCCGCACCCACCACCTGGTGACCAAGGGCCATTTACTCTAAAACTAGATTCTTTAACTCTTGAGGGGCTGTGGACCCTTTTGGCGCCTGGCATAGTACTGAGAATTATGTTCATAAAGGCATAAAATAAAATACACAAGGTAACAAAAGAAGCCATTTACACTGAAATGCAGTTACCAGATATTTTTAAAAAGCAAATTTGTGATATGGTAACATGGGTGTCTTTTCATCAACACACTAGCCAGCAAGATCTGGTGGTGGATGGATCTTAACTACTCTTCTTAACTGCAAAGACATGAGGCGCATAAACACTATTTTCAGAAACTGCAACCACCGGGATGGGATATGGAAATACCTGTGATTTCTTTTGGGATCTCGCTAACGCTAGCATGCTTTGTGGCCTACATTTTTAATTGAGGAAATGTTGCACCTTAGACAATAAAGATGTAATTTTTCTCCCATCCAAGCGTGCAGGCCCCCTGCAGTCTGTCCACAGCCCCGCTAAGGGTTTGACTGCCTACTCTAGAGGGTCTTGTACTTTCACAAGAAGCAAATGCAAGTGGCACATTTTGTTCCTGGACTCCTAGAATTTCTTTCTGATTTAGAGGCTGAGGGTCCTTGGCCACTTCTCAGGGCTTGGCAGAGGTCCTCACTTCACACCTGTCCTTGGTTTCACAAAGAATTTGAGGTCCCTAGGGCTGTGAGGGTCATCTTCTGCGCCCACTTCCCCACCCCCTAAGGTCAGTGTCAGAATTACAAGTGCATGGGCTGCCATAGAGCCAGGCTGACCTGCCCTCAAATCCTGACTTCTTCTAACTTACTGTGTCACTTGGACCATACTACTTAGTTCCTCTGCATCTCAGTTGCCTATTCTGTAACATGGGACCAAAGCTAGTATTGCTGGTTCTTCAGAGAATTGAATGATAGCAGCTCTTAGCACAGCAGGCTCTCGACAGATGCTGAGCCCCCTAAGACATAAAATAACAAACTGGAGACCCCCCTGGGACTCAGGCACCCCAGAGACCCCACAGTAGCATATCAGGCTCAGTGCAATACACATTAGGGCATTTATTCTATGAATGTCTGAAGCTCCCACAATGTGCCAGGCAGCTCCAGGGTGCCAGCCCTTTCCTCTGTTACAGGATAGACAAGATCCCAGCCCTCATAGAATTCACCATCTGAGCTCCAAAGACACCCCCAGATGGGACCAGACAGCGGCCAATAATAACACCAGCTGCCCACCTGCCCCCACTCATCTGAGGTTTTCTATGGGACCTCCCTGTCTCCAGGTCCTGGTGGCCAGTGGTCATTTTCCCCGTTGGACCTCCCCTTTCCTTCTGTCCCTCCTGGGGCCTGTCCGTGAGCCTTCCCCCAGCCCTCCCTCTCATGTTGAAGGCTCTCCATTTCCCTTCCCACTGGACATCCTGACCTTTCTCACCCTGAGCCAATACAGGGGCCCCTTCTTAACATTTCTGTCTCCTCTCCATGGGTGGCCTCTCAGTATGTGGTCTTGTCCTCCTGTCTCATTTGTTTCAGCTTCTGTCCCCTATTCACTCTCCTGCTTAAATCACTCTGCACCTAAACCAGAGGGGGCATGTGGGCAGTGTGGGGCCCAGTGTGGCCCTGAGGCCTCTTTTATCAGAACTGCACACCAGTTAACAAGAGCAAAATATTATACAAGACGCCACTGCTTAAACACTTAAGAACTGGGAGATTTCAGCCCTCCCTGAAAGACATACCTCTGCATAAAACTTACCAACAGTGGGGGTGCAGACTCTAGGCTTATCCATTGGCCGTCAGGGTGCCTCTTGGGCCCTGTCTCTTTCCAGGGCTCTGCTGTCCATCTGCCTGTCCTCCCCAAAGTGTGGCTTTGGCTTTCTCAGCTACTGAATGCTACTTGGTCACTGACCCCCGAGGGGTCCCCTTCCACCTGCCGTCTCCAGCCTCTGTATGGGTGCAGGTTTCAGCCTTTCTCTGGACTCAGTTTCTCCCTCTGATTATTTTTATCACACCCTCTCAGTTGCGTTCTCTGCCTCTGTCTTGCCCCTCTGGGACAGCCCCAGCCGTCTCCAGTTCAGGATCTCTCAGGACTGACTCTCTCCCTGCCTCATTGGGTCCCTCTTTCTTCCCATCACCGTCTCATTTCCCGCCCTGTACCTCAGTCTTTGTCTCTCCCTCCTTTGGACCTGCATCTCTGTCTCTGTCTCCCTCATCTCTTTGTCTATCTCTGTCTCTCCACCTGTCACCCCCTCTACTCTCTCTTCCCCTGACCCCTTTCAGGGGCTGTCTCCCTGGCACGAATTTTCCAGCCCATCATCAGCCTCCAGCCTGTGCTCAGCACCAGGCACACACTCTGCTACTGAGGCACCAGACCCAGGGCTGACCCAGGAGGTGGCACCAGAGGAGGTTGGACCTCTGGCCGACTCGCTGGGGAGGAGTCTGCTGGGCAATTGGTGACTTCACGCGCACCTGGTCTGCTGATTGGCTGCCTCCCCGTGGGAAGAGGATGCTCTCCGTTTGTTGATGGAGGTCAGCCTGTCCCACCTTGGGTCAGCCTGCCCCTTAGGCAGTTAGTTCCATGCTTCTTCAGATGCTTTTATGGCTCCTCGGTCAGTCTGACATTTCCTTTGCCACTCAGACCCCTCTTACAACATCAAGCTAACCCATTATTTGATCCCTCCCTTCCAATGCAAAGTGTCTTCTGTCAGTTTGCAAATCTGACGCCTCTCCCTTCACTCTGACCCCTCTCCTGCAACTGATCCACCCCTCATCACTCTGACCACCACCCCACGCCTCATGCAGGATGCTTCCTCCATCTTCCTCCCCTCCTCCCAGTTCTCGCTTACCCACCCTCCCCAGCCTGGACTCAGTACTCAGCGTTCTCTCCAGCCTGCTTCTGCCCTCAGTGGCCCTTGTGTCCTTTCTGACCGGTCACATCCCTTTTCTTCACTCTTTGTAGCCCTTTCTTCTTCCCTCTTTTTTTTTTTTAACTTTATTGGGGAACAGCCATGGTCCTTGGGCTTTCATGCTACAGTAGCATAGTTGGGTCTTTTAAGGAGGGCGCAGCTCACAGTGGCCCATGCAGGGATCAAACCGGCCACCTTGGTGTAACGTGGGTGTTATCAGCACAACGCTAAACTGAGCTAACCGGCCACTCCCTCTTCTTCCCGCTTAATCTGAGGATTTTCTACCACTCCAGTGTGTTTTCCCCAACGGCTCTATAACCTCCTCCTTACTCACTGGCTGATCTAGGACATGACTTTTCTCCTTTGCTCTACAGCCCCTTTTGCACTCATTAAAATGGGTATAATCAACCCTAACGCACAAGTTGAGGATTCAGTCAGGACTTACACGCGAAGCAGATGGCAAAGTGGTTTGCACAAAAGTGACTCCCTTCATTTTTCATTTCTCTCTCTCTCTGCACCACCGCGCAATCTCTCTATCTTTTGCGGGGTTCGGCTTCCTGATACCACACAGATCATTATGAGCTGCAGGACAGGATGGAAAACCAAGCAGGGTGGGTGTTTGGCTGAGGTTTAGAGAGAAAGGGCTTAAGGAGAATGTTTGAGAAAAACATGTGTCAAAGTCAAGAAGGGTTGGCAGGCTGAGAATCCTGCTCCAAGAAGCGCAGAATGGGAGGAAAGCAGTCAAATGGGTAGATGTTTGGGAGACACTTCCTGACTCCTCCTTGGGGCCGACCCGCTGCTGTTTCATGGGGTTGTTTAGGAACAGGACTGAGGTTTTGCCTTCACGATGCTCCCTCTGTCTTTTTTTTATTTTTTTATTGGGGAACAGCCATGGTCATTGGTTACACATTGCTTTCATGCTACAATGGCGTAGTTGACTCTTTTAGGGAGGGTGCAGCTCACAGTGGCCCATGCGGGGATTGAACTGGCAATCTTGGTGTTATTAGCACCACGCTCTAACCAACTGAGCTAACCAGTTACCCTTCCCTCCATCTTTTCAGGGTGTCTTGTATCATTCCCAGTCAGTCCTTCATTCTATAAATATTTATTGAACACCTACTATGTGCTAGACCTGCTGCTGGGCTCTGGGGGTGTAGGAGTGAACCAGTCAAACAATGTCACTTACCTTAGAAAAGTTACATTTTAGGGGGGATTTTGCAGAATTGGGCTCTGCTGTATGTAAGAGAAGCCTCCAAATGACAGCACCTGACGTTGGCTCTTTCTCAGTCAGTCACTCATTTATTTGACAAGAACTTGCAGAGCATTACGCCCTATTTAGGGACTGGGGACCCAGCAGGGAACAAGTCCAGCAAAGTCGCTCCCCACAGGCAGGCTGCGTTATGACTTTCTTGGGCCTTTGGCAATTTTGCCTTCCTGAGCCCCTCCTTCCTAAAAAAAAAAAAAGTTTAAAAATCTATATTTTATGACTGTGTTGATACGAAGATGGGTATTATTCAGGTTAGATTATAGTCTTTGTTTTTTCCCCTTCCGATTTTAAAAGAAATGAAAACATTTTCCCTCTAAGTATTGTGGGCCCCAGACACTGTGCCCCGCTGCCTGGAATAATATACGCTGCCTTCAGGGAGCTGACATTCTAGGTGGGAGACGGACAATAAACAAGCAAACCAGATCATTTCCAATGGAGAGAAGTGCCAGAAAAACTAGACAGTGACTCGGAGGAGACAGTGGAGTGGAGAACTTAAAGATGGAAAGAATCTGTGATGATTAGGAGGAAACCATTGTAGAGGGAAAATCCAGGCCTTGCAAGTGTTCTAAGGACCTTGGGGCATTGGAGGAGCAGGGAAAGGGGGACATCATGGGACCAGGCTGAGCAAGAAGGAGATGCAGGCGGGACTACATCATCCAGGGCATCTGAGTCTTGGGTCTCGTACAATCAGAGCCTGACAAAGGGATTCTTCTTGCGCCAGCGGTTTCCTAAGGGGGAACCGTAAAGGAGTGAGGGAGGCAGGATGGGCTGCGGGATCAGTCTGATCTCTCAGGGAGCTCTGGACAGTGAATTGCACTAGGGAGTTGATCCTGCATCAGACCTCCGTGTCAGTCATCAGTCCTTGGCTGTGGGCAGCTCCCAGAAGTGGGGGCATGTAACTGTTTGGGCACATCAGCTCCTTTGGGAGAGGGTGATTCTCCAGAGCAAGCTGCAGGTGACACAGCAGCTGGGGATGGGCACAGCATGGGGCCAAGGGGATCTGGGTGGTACCAGCAGAGGGGCTTGAAGACCAGAGTTCGAATCCCCTGTTAACTGTTGTGGGATACGACTGTAGGATTTTAAGCAGGGCGATAGCGTGACCTGAATTTATTTTTGAAAAGAGCCCTCTGACCCTGTGTGGGAAGCAGATTAGAAAGGGGTGGGGGCACAAGGGTGGCAGCAGGGAGACAAGGGAAGAGGCTACTGCAGCCATCCGGGTAAGCGATGGTGGTGACTTGGACCTGGGCAGTGACAGCAAGAATGGAGAAAAGTACCCAGATGAGTGATCAGTCTGGAAAGTAGAGCAAACAGGGTTGACAAAAAAGATACATTTTCTTTCTCTCTCCCCACTGCCTGGACTCAGAAAGTCCATCCCCACCCAGAATTCCCTTTTACCTCCTCCACTCCCCTCTCCCTCCCTTCAGAGTCTTGGAGGAGGAATGGGGGCTGGCCTCGTGGGGAAGCCCTGACTGACTCTCCAAGCCCTGACTGATCTCTATGCTATCTTTTCTCTCTCCTCCCCTGACTGCCGCCCTGAAGTCGAGCTTCGATCCTCACCACCGATCACAGCCAAGTTATGAACGTCCTTCTTACCTGCCTCCAGGACCTGGGTTTATGCTCCGGCAAAAATCTATTGGTATGTCACTAATGGGGCGGTGTAAAGGATGCTGGTGGGGGAATGGGAAGCTGGAAGGGTGACAGTTTATGGGGGAGAGGGGCCTGGAAATGTTTCTTTCTACTTCCATACGTGACCACATTTCCACCAAGTTAGACAGAGAACTCAGGCTTTGCATTTGGGCAAAACTGGGTTTGAATTCCGGCTCTCGTCCATCCCAGCTGTATAACCTAGGGCAGATGGCTTTACCTCTCTGGGCCTAGGGCTCTTCACCTGGAAGGTGAGGAGATTATTGGCCCTCCCTGGATGCAGTGAGTTGAAGGCCCCACCACAAACCCTGGTTTTGCCTGGTTCCTTCTCTCTTATACCTGACTCCATTCATTCACTCATTCATTCCACAAATATTTATTGAGCACTACGATATTCCAGGCTAGAATTCGGGGGATATGTCAGTGAACAAAACAGACTAAAGGGTCCTGCTCTCATGGAGCTTGCATGAGGGGAAGACAGATAACAGATTATAAGGATAAGAAACAAGAAAATTACATAGTATGTTAACTGTGGTAAGTGCTATGGAAAAACAGAAAAAGCGGAGTCAGATAAGAGAGGTCAGGAGTGCCAGTGGGGGCAGGTTTGAGCTGAAACTTGGAGATGAAGCAGGGAGCCTTGGGGATATGCAAACATAAGGCGTTCCAGGCCTCAGAAGCAGCCAGTGCAAAGGTCCTGAGGTAGGACTGAGTTGCCATTTGCTCCACTGGAGAATACTGTGGGATGGGAGGAGATCCAGAGCTCCAGTGGGGACCTGCTGAGTTTGAGATTCCAGTGAGACATCAAGTAGATGTGGCATTTGGATCAAGGAACCTGGAGATCAGGGGAGAGGACAGGGCCCAAGACAAAGTTTTCCAGCAGAGAAGCAGTGAATGAAGCCATGACACTGGTTGTGATTGTCAAGGGAAAGAGAGTAGTCAGAGGCGAGAAGAGGGTCCAAGACTGATAGTTGATAAGGAGGCAAAAGACTTCACCCCTCCAGTCTTCTCTGAGTCGTCTTGCTGATTGGATCTAGCTTTTCCTTAACTTCCAGTGTCCACAGTCCATCAGTGTGCCTCTTGCATCTGTGAGGTCTACCTATATCTCATCATTTGCCTAATATCTGCCACCTGTAAATCTACCTAATTTCACTTACTTATCAATCAGCTCTTTTAAACATTAGCCTCATCCTAAGCAGTTTTTTTAGTGACGTGCTAACTGCATTTCTTTTTTGCCTATACATGAAAAGAAATCTAACTATGCACATAAACATGGTATCTCTTCCAGCTTGTGTCACTTTTGCTCATCCCAAGCCACCACTAGCATATTACTTTGCCTTTGTGTGAATTAGAAAAGGCTCCCCCTCCCTATTCAGGGAGAGGCCAACTGGGGCTTGGCTACCCCTGAGAAACCCAGCGCGCAGCAGATCATGCAGCTGCTACAAGAGATCCAGAACCCCCATGAGCACCCAGGCTTGGGCGACAACCCCTGCATCCCTTTCTTCTACCGGGCCAATGACCACAATGAGAATAAATGGAGTTAGCCATAAAAAAAAATAATAAAATAAAATAAAAAGAAAAGGCCCCCCCTCCTGGCCTGGGGAAGAAGTTCAGCTGAATTTCGCTGCACTCCCCCCCCCCTTGCTCCCTCTGCTGTTTGCTGTTGTGCAGTGCACTACCTGTATTACTGTATCAAGCGAATTAGGATTTACTTTAGCTGTGTAAACTCTGAACTAATCCATGTGAAGCTCTTCTTACATATAGTGGGTGCTATTATTATTATATTAGTATTTTAGTATTTAGTTCTATGGGCTAGGGTAGCAGGGAGACCCCCACCCCCAGGCCCTGCTCCTGGATCCTCTGTGTTTTCCCAGGGGCTGCGGAAGATGATAGACCCTACCTAGCACCCCCAACCATGAAGTTCAGCCGCAGCCTGTCTGTGCCTGGTTCCGAGGACATCCCCCCGCCTCCCACCACGTCCCCTCCGGAGCCCCCCTACAGCACACCTCCAGCCCCCTCCTCCTCCGGCCGCCTCACTCCGTCCCACCGGGGAGGGCCCTTCAACCCTAGCGCTGGTGGCCCCCTCCCTGCCTCTTCCCCGTCATCTTTTGATGGGCCCTCGCCTCCTGACACCCGTATGGGGGGCCGGGAGAAGAGCCTGTACCATCACGCTCCGCCCCCCCAGCCCCACCACCACCATGCGCACCCCCCTCACCCTCCGGAGATGGAGACGGGTGGCTCTCCCGACGACCCCCCGCCCCGATTGGCTCTGGGGCCCCAGCCCAGCCTGCGCGGCTGGCGGGGCGGCGGGCCCAGCCCGACCCCAGGAGCCCCGTCCCCCTCGCACCACGGCAGCGGGAGCGGCCCCTCCCAGGGCCCTGCCCTGCGCTACTTCCAGCTGCCCCCGCGGGCAGCCAGCGCGGCCATGTACGTGCCCGCCCGCTCGGGCCGCGGGCGCAAGGGCCCCCTGGTCAAGCAGACCAAAGTGGAAGGCGAGCCGCAGAAGGGCGGTGGCCTCCCACCCGCGCCCTCTCCGACGTCCCCGGCGTCCCCGCAGCCGCCGCCAGCTGCGGCCGCCCCGTCGGAAAAGAACTCCATCCCCATCCCCACCATCATCATCAAGGCTCCGTCCACCAGTAGCAGCGGCCGCAGCAGTCAGGGCAGCAGCACCGAGGCCGAGCCCCCGGCCCAGCCCGAGGCTGCCGGTGGCTCCTCCGCGACGAGCCCCGCCCCGGCCATTTCGCCGGTGCCGCCGTCCCCGTCGCCCGTGCCCACCCCCGCCTCGCCCAGCGGCCCGGCCACCCTCGATTTCACCAGCCAGTTCGGAGCGGCCCTGGTGGGGGCGGCTCGGAGAGAGGGGGGCTGGCAGAACGAAGCCCGCCGGCGGTCCACGCTGTTCCTCTCCACCGACGCGGGGGACGAGGAGGGCGGTGACAGCGTGCTGAGCGCAGGGGCGCCCCCGGGGCCCAGGTTGCGCCACTCCAAATCCATCGACGAAGGCATGTTCTCCGCGGAGCCCTACCTCCGGCTGGAGTCTGCAGGCGCCGGGAGCGGCGCCTACGGCTACGGGGCCGCCAGCCGCGCCTATGGGAGCAGCAGCGCCTTCACCAGCTTCCTGCCGCCGCGACCGCTGGTCCACCCGCTGACCGGCAAGGCCCTGGACCCAGCCTCCCCACTCGGGCTGGCCCTGGCGGCCCGCGAGCGGGCGCTGAAGGAGTCCTCGGAGGGCGGGGGAACCCCCCAGCCCCCTCCCAGGCCCCCATCGCCCCGCTACGAGGCCCCGCCGCCCACCCCTCACCACCACTCGCCTCATGCCCACCATGAGCCAGTGCTGCGTCTCTGGGGGGCTTCCCCACCCGACGCCGCCCGCCGGGAGCTGGGGTACCGGGCAGGGCTGGGCAGCCAGGAGAAGTCCCTTCCGGCCAGCCCGCCAGCTGCCCGACGCTCCTTGCTACACCGCTTGCCCCCCACAGCTCCCGGGGTTGGGCCCCTCCTGCTGCAGCTGGGGCCTGAGCCCCCCGCCCCGCACCCAGGGGTGAGCAAGGCCTGGAGGTCCGGAGCCCCAGAAGAGCCTGAGCGGCTGCCCCTACACGTGCGGTTCCTTGAGAATTGCCAGCCCCGGGCCAGTGGGGCGAGTGGAAGGGGTCCCCCCTCGGAGGACGGGCCGGGAGTTCCGCCGCCCAGCCCACGCCGGACTGTGCCTCCTTCGCCGACCTCCCCGCGGGGCAGTGAGGAGAATGGGCTCCCGTTGCTAGTCCTGCCGCCCCCAGCCCCCTCGGTGGACGTGGAAGACGGTGAATTCCTCTTTGTGGAACCGCTGCCCCCGCCCCTGGAGTTCTCAAACAGCTTTGAGAAGCCAGAGTCACCCCTCACGCCTGGGCCTCCTCACCCGCTGCCAGACCCACCCACCCCGACCACCCCATTGCCCCCTGTGACACCCCCTGCCATCACTGCTGCCCCTCCCACCCTGGACTCCACGGCATCCAGCCTGACTTCGTATGACAGTGAGGTGGCAACGCTGACCCAGGGGGCCCCCGCGGCTCCGGGGGATGCCCCTCCTCAAGGCCCACCGGCCCCAGCCGCCCCAGCTCCTCCAGCCCCGCAGCCTGGCCCAGACCCTCCACCTGGCACGGATTCTGGTATCGAAGAGGTGGACAGTCGGAGCAGCAGTGACCACCCTCTGGAGACCATCAGCAGCGCATCCACGCTGAGCAGCCTGTCTGCCGAAGGCGGTGGCAGTGCAGGGGGTGGGGGTGGGGGGGCCAGTGTGGCCAGTGGGCCGGAGCTTCTGGACACGTATGTGGCCTACCTGGATGGCCAGGCTTTTGGGGGGAGTGGTACTTCTGGCCCACCATACCCTCCGCAGCTCATGACTCCCTCTAAGCTCCGGGGCCGGGCGCTGGGGGCCAGTGGAGGCCTGCGGCCCGGCCCCAGTGGGGGACTCCGAGACCCTGTCACTCCCACCAGCCCCACCGTCTCAGTGACAGGGGCTGGAACTGATGGGCTGCTGACCCTGAGTGGTTGCTCAGGACCCTCGGCAGCAGGTGTGGCCGGGGGTCCAGTGGCTGTAGAGCCAGAAGGCCCACCGGTGCCCTTGCCATCTGCTGCCTCCCTGCCTCGCAAGCTGCTGCCCTGGGAGGAGGGCCCGGGCCCACCGCCACCACCCCTGCCCGGGCCTCTGGCCCAGCCTCAGGCCTCAGCCTTGGCCACAGTAAAAGCCAGCATCATCAGTGAACTCAGCTCCAAGCTTCAGCAGTTTGGGGGCTCCTCGGCAGCTGGTGGCGCTCTGCCCTGGGCCCGGGGAGGCAGCGGGGGAAGCGGGGACAGCCACCACGGGGGAGCCAGCTATGTCCCCGAGAGGACGTCCTCCTTGCAGCGGCAGAGGTGAGCAGGGGCTGGTGGTTGGTAGTGGAGACCAGAGGGACCAATGCTGTGGGTACCAGGGTCCACCTTCCCCATAGCTGTGTCCCTTTAGAGTCTCAGGTGGTAGAAAGAAAACAGAAACCAGGCTGGCTTGGAGAAGTTTGCCATCAAAGAAGCATGCTTTCACGGATGCTTTCAACTTCCCTTTATCAGTGGCTTCTGTGGTCTCCCATCAACATGACAACCCACATCTCATGATGAACAAAAACAGTTATTAACAAAGGAGATTGGAGCACAACTTGCCGATGTCTGTTTCCTTGGCAGATTGTCAGTTCTGACGATCCCTGAAATCTGCAAGTCCCTGGAGCCCAGTGTGGCTCAAAATAAGAAGACGCTTTAGGGCACAGTGGTTACATATGTGGTTCTGGTGCTGGGCTTCTTGGGTTCTGGTCCCAGCCCTGCACTTTCTAACTGGGTGACCTTAGGCAAAGGAATCCACCTCTGTTGAAGGAAGACAGTATAGTACCCACCTAAAAGGGTTTTTGAGGCCACTGTTACAACATGAGATGGAGGAGGGGAGGGGCCTCTTCCCAAAGCCCAGCAAGTATAGGTGAGGAAATATGGGATGATACAGTTTTCCAAAGCAGCTAGCTGGCTGGAATTGCCACAAAGTTCAAGCTCATTCAAGACCTAGGAAAAGTAGGGTCTCATTCCTGGTTTAAATAGAGAGAGAGTGGAGAGAGGTTTTTTAATCCCTGTGTCCATCTGCAGAGCCCCCTCTAATTCCATTTGAAGGTCTGATGTCCTTATAGTTGATATTCGAGTGTGGTTTGATCACGCCTTTGAAATCTTAAGGCAAATGAGTGATGATTCTTAAGTATTCTGGGTATATGATGGTGAATTTAGGTGACAGCTGATCCAATTGTTGCTTTATCACCTACTATGTACTGGGTGCCCTTCTGGGTGAGAGGGGCCTCACAGTGGACACGACAGGCAAAGCAATGCCCTCTTAGAGCTCATAGTCCAATGAGGCAGAGGTGGGGGGCAGACTACAAAATAATTGCAATCTTCCTAGGGGGAAAAAACACAATAATGGGATGGTTAGAGAAGGTCTCTCAAATAACGAGCAAGATAAGCGGAGACTGGAGGAGGGGAGGAAGCAACTCACAAGATTGTTTGTGGGAAGAGTGAGCTAGGCAGAGGGAACAGCCAGTTCAAAGGCCCTGAGACTGGACTGTTCTGGAGGGAGCTAAAGGGATGAGGGGAACCTTTTTCTCCCCTTGTTTCTTTCTTTCATCTCCCTCTCCTCATCTCTCTCCCTCTCTTTCTCTCTGTCCCCTGTCCCCTTCCATCTCTCTCCCCTGAATGCTCACCCTCTTTTTGTTCCTCTCTCACCGTCTCCCTGTCTTCCACTCTGCTGTGACTGGCCATAACCCGAAAGGCAGTATAGAATAGTGGTTAAGAGCTCAGACTTTGGTGCCATATAACCGGGCTCTGCCACTTCCTGGCTGTGTGTCCTTAGGCAAGTTATTTAACCTCTCTGTGCTGCTGATAATAATAGTAACCTGCATCAGGGCTGTCATGGGGATTAAATTGAGATGCGATCTGTAAAGAGCACTTAGAACAATGCCTGGCACACGTGAGCATCAGTAAGTGGTGACGATTATTATTATTATCACTTAATGTCTCTTTTTCTTTCATCTCTCTTGACTGTCACCCTCTCCCTGTCCTCTCATTTTTCTCTCCCTTCATTTCTGTCCTGACATCCATCTTACCCCCTCGCTCCTTCTATCTCTTCCCATCTCTCTACCCTGCCCCTATGTCTCTCTTCCTCTCTCCCTATATCTTGACCTCTTTCTCTTTCTCACCTTGCCCTTACCCCCCAAACCCCTCTCCTCCACCCCTGCCCCCTTGTCACATTCCAGACTCTCGGATGACTCCCAGTCCTCGCTCCTCTCCAAACCTGTCAGCAGCCTGTTTCAGAACTGGCCTAAACCACCTCTGCCGCCACTCCCCACAGGAACCGGGGTCCCCCCTTCAGCTGCTGCGGCCCCAGGGGCCACCTCACCCTCAGCCTCCTCTTCCACGTCCACCCGACACCTCCAGGGTGTGGAGTTCGAGATGCGGCCACCTCTGCTCCGCCGGGCCCCCAGCCCCTCGCTGCTGCCCGCCTCGGAGCATAAGGTCAGCCCTGCGCCCCGGCCCTCCTCCCTGCCCATCCTGCCTTCTGGACCCCTCTATCCGGGCCTTTTTGACATCCGCAGCTCCCCCACTGGAGGGGCAGGAGGCTCGGCTGACCCCTTCGCCCCTGTCTTTGTGCCACCGCACCCAGGGATGTCCGGGGGGCTTGGTGGAGCCTTGTCAGGGGCCTCCCGCTCCCTGTCACCAACCCGCCTGCTTTCGCTGCCCCCGGACAAGCCGTTCGGCGCTAAACCTCTGGGGTTCTGGACCAAGTTCGACGTGGCTGATTGGCTTGAGTGGCTGGGCTTGGCTGAGCACCGAGCCCGCTTCCTGGACCACGAGATTGATGGCTCCCACCTGCCCGCCTTGACCAAGGAGGACTACGTGGATCTGGGTGTGACCAGGGTGGGCCACCGCATGAACATTGACCGGGCTCTCAAAGTTTTCCTGGAGAGGTGATGGCTGGCTTGGACGGACCAGCCCGTCCACAGAACCCTTGAGCCCACTGGCCTCTTGACCTCTGACCGTCATTCTCTTCCCGGGCCAGGGACTCTGCTAAAACTGCACCCTGCCATCATCTCCTAAGGCCGGAGGTCACCAAGTGGCCTGATTCCTGCCAGACATTTGCACCTCACAGGAGGGGGCAGCTGACACAAGACTGTGTGTGGAGCGGAGGGGGTGGGAATTGAAGAAATCACAGAAGGGGATGGAGAAGGAGAGAAGGGTCGATTCTGGGGAGGGGGAGACAGACAGAGCCATAGAGGGCCAGCCCTAAGCCTGACTGGATGGGGGTCGCCCCCAGGCCGCAGGGGAAAGGGGTGCCCTCAGATTCCACCACCTGCCACCCCTCTAACAACCCTTTCCCCCCTCTCCAGGCCCCTCTGTTTTCCCTGCCTTCCCCTCTTCCTAGCACACACAGCAGCCCCCCCAGCCTCTTGCACGCTCCTTTGCACGCCTGCTTGCCTCTCCCCTCCCTGGGCTACAATTTTGCACAAATCTGCCCTCTCGCTGTCTTGCACACTCCGCCTTTGCTCCAGCTCGCGAGCCCTCTTTGCTCTGTTTCCCTTGCACACATTGCATTTCTTTTCCCACACTCCATGCCCCCTGTTCTCTCCAACTCTTGCTTACACACTCTTTCCTTGGCGTCCTCCCTTACACACCTCACTTCTGAAAATTTCTGGGCCCTTGCTGCAGACACACTTGGGACACCCTTTTCCCTCACCAACTCATAGGTTCTGTGCACACACTTATTGTCTGGAATACCCTTGTCTTTGTTCAACCCTTGCACACTCAATATCCTATGCACCTCTTCTGAGGTGCCTCCATTTTCTTTAAGCACTTCCCCCCCTTATTCTTGAACCCCCACATTCTTACTCTACCCACCTGTCTGTCACAGTGACATTCTGATGCCCCTCCTTACCCCTCCTCCTCTTGCACTGTCACTTCTTATCGCACAGCTTGCACACTTGCTGCCCAGGAACTGTTTCTCAAATGCTCATTCCTCTCCTCTTCACCAGGCTCCCACTCCCTTGCCCCCTTCATTTCCAAATCTTTGTCCATCTCCATTCTCAACTCTTGTGGACTTTCTTGCTCATTCACTCTTGCACACACCTCCTCCCTGGCACTTGCACTGCACTCTTGAAGCCTTTTTCTTTTCCTTAACAATGTTCTTACATACCGTGGCTTTGCTGCACACCCATTCTTGAATTCCTATTTGTTTTTGTCAGCTCCTGGGAGACTTTCTCCAGCTCCCTTGGGGAACGCTACCACCTCTTACCTTTGCACATTCAGCCTGCTTCACACACTCTTGGGCTGTATTAGCATTTCTTTCCTTGGCACCTTTAGTTTTTGTCCCTGTGAAGGAACAGCTTTTGCAGCCATTCTCTGCCTGTTCTCTTATGTCTTTATGCTCTTTTCTCTTTCTGGCAAGAGAAGACCCTAGGCACACTCACTTCTTGCTCACCGTGCTCCCTCCTCTTCCTGCACCAGTCTGCCCTCTCGCACACCCTCCCTCCTTTCACTCTTCTCAGTCCTTCCTGGGCCATCTGTCCATCCATTTTGCTCGAAGATGCCCTCCCTCCCCCCAACCCTTCCATCTCTCCAAGAAACTCCTCCCTCTGGCATGGCTGTTCCTTCCCGCACGCTTCACCCCTCCCTTTATTCCTGGGGCTTGGGAATTTTAAGCCACCCCTTCCCCTGGGAAGCCCCCTCCCCTACTGTGGGTAAAGGGGGGAGGGCATCGCCCTCAGGTCCCCCCATGTTCAGCTGCCAAAGAAGGGAGCTCCCCCTCCTCCCCCCAAACCCATTCCCCCTCTGCTGCCCCCACCCCCGAGGGGGGGGCTCCGTCCATGGGGGGAGGGTGCTTGCAGCCCTCTCCCCTCACCACGTCAGGGATCTGCGGGGAACCTTGTGGGAGGGCCATGGGAGGGGGGAGGGGTGGCGAGGAGGGGGGCGGAGATTGCGCTGGGCCCCTACCCGCCCCCTCCCCCTTGTCGGCTGCCCCCCGTCCGCAGGGGGGCCTGCGCGGCGCCCATCTATCAAGGGCTTGTTCATTCTGGATGGGTGCCGCGGG